ACTCCGGCTTCTCGCCTTTGAGCTTCTACTGCGGCTCCATGAAGAACTGCTGCATCAGCTGAATCATCTTCTGATTCAATGTATGCCGTTTCGACATCTACTTAAGCTGCAGGATCAAGGAAAATAAGACTAAATAACTTTAACTTCAAAGGAAGGCAAGGTCAAGGCGGGGAGAGAAATACCTATCAAAAGTAACCGGTTCTTCTGCTAAATCATTTCCTTCCAGTTTTCAAGTTCGCCCAAACTTGTGAGTTTCTCGCAAATTTCCTCCATAGTTCTTGGTCCATTTGGCTTCCCACCAGGTGGAGAAGAGTGAAGTACATTCAAAGTTCAGAACTATAGACTTTCAGGCAGCCTGATTCATAACTTCAAGACTTCGTCGGGCAGCTTGAAAGGTCACCTCTGAAGGGGATGGTAACCGGAAGGAAGTGCCACAATGGACAGAGTCAAAAGAGGGGATAAGGATGGCTTGCCTAAAGCCTAATTGCCTGCTACAAAAATTAGGGTGATACACTTCTAACCCACGATCATAACGGTTGCCACGAACTCCCCAGGCTATGTCTTTTTGTTGAATACAACTGATGAATTTCTCCCTGCAAAATGAGGTGGCATCTTCTCCGAGAGCGTCTTGGAATGCTTGATCAGAGAACCAAGGATATCTCCTCAAAACTGAGGCACCCCACTCCAGGTATGATCGGGTTCTACAAACCTTGAAGAAATAAAAACAGGCAAAAGTAGAGTGATCTATGGGAGTAGCTTCAGCTAGGATTCGGGCATGGGCTACACCTTTTGGGAATTCTAAGTTACTGGCCCGAAATTCTGAGAAATACCATTGGAGCCATATGTGGATCATCCATATGGGTCCATTCAGATTGGTTTCAAATGGCTCACCTTGAGTCATTTCAAAGAGGAGATGATAAAGATGAGAAAGAAGAAATAGACCTGTGGCTACATCATCAAAGTTGTGAAGGGCTTCCACTAAGGGGATCTATTCAACCTTCACCCCTTTAGATTTATTTGGGAAAACATGCTTGTTGAGCCAGTATAACAGGAAATACATGTGTTCCTGATCTTTGTTTGCATGAGAAGAATCTGCACCAAAATTCTCCTTGATAAAGGGGATGAATCCCTTGAAAGAAGTCCTGTAACTCTTAAAGGTTGCAGAGTTGTATTCCAATTGAAGAAAAGAAGTGGAGGAACCGGAGCTTTCAGCGATTGAAGAGGAAAATGGAACCCAGTCTTGGGTAACATCTACAATCCTGCCCGATGGTCTTAGCCCGAAGACTTGGGCCATATCTAGAACAGTCAGAGACATGGGACCCATGCAAAAATCAAAAGTATTCGTGCCCGAATTCCAGAAAAGAAGATAAGTAGCAAGCAGTTCGGGCTTGGGAACAATGGTAGTTTTGCAAAGCATTATTAGTTCGTAAATACCATTGTTCATCCACTTCTTCTTGAAGATTGGCTCTAGTTCATCAATCCACTGAGTCCAAGCTGGGCCGTTCATTAGGGGAAAGCCACGACGGTATGATGACCACTTAGCTGAAGAGATGCCCGACTTGGCCAAGAAAGGATTAGGGGCAAACCAGTTACCCCTGAGCATATTATTTTCTATCACAGCAGGGACGCGAGAAATCCATGCAGAACCCAACGATTGTACCCCATAGGCTTCAAAGAAAAGTTCAGAGCACAAACCTCCTGAAGCCATTTGATAAGTTTGGAAGATGCGTGATAAGAAGGTGACGAGGGCAGAAGATATGGAACAAATAGCAAAAGGGAGTCTGAAATTTGGAAGAAATAGAGTATCTGGGAAGGTAAGAAATTCAGAAAAGGGGGATTTCATATTAGGGATAGCTGATGATTTATGGGTTAATGAAAAGATTGCAGGTAAGTGACAGTTGTTTTTTTAGAAGGGTACAAGTCCTAAGTAAAGACATGGGTATGAAGGGCAGCTATTCAATCAATATTGGCACCTGGAATTCCAGCCTGAATATTAATTGAAGGGGGCACTGTTTGGGATAAAACTTGAACTTTGGGTTAAAAAGGGGTTAGCCCAAAAGAAGGTCCAGAAGGAGGAAAAGTCCAAAGCCAACCAAAGCTTAGAAGAAAGAATGAGCCTTTTTCCCGACCAAGTGCAGATCATTCAAACCACCTGCTCACCTACCTAGAGGTCAAGTGGTGTAGACCAGCCAGCTGATCAGCCCAAAAGTACTTTACAATGGCAGTACAAGTAAAAAGTTGATGAGTCACTGCCCTTCAGATGCATTCGGGCAAAATCAATACTGCAGGCAGCCAAGCCAAATTGTCTATAAAAGGAGGAAGAAAAATCAAAGAGAAGGACACTCAATCAAACAAACAAATACACAAACTCTGCTCAAGCCAGATTTGCATACGAAGCTGTAGTCAGCACCAAGCCTTCATCCATTTCGGGATCAACCTTCACCAGAAAGCTTTTGTAAAAGCTCTGCTACCCTGTCTAAATCTTGCTGTAGTATCGATTCCCTCATGTAAACTCATCCTTCAATCTCCCCTTCTAGCACTTAAACCCTTTGTAAATCACAAAGAGAGGAAGTTGCAAGACGATCAGCCTTGCCCGACCTCCTTTGTTTTTGTCTTTCATTCATAAATCTAGTAATATGATGTATATTTCCATTTGCATCCAAGTTATTTCTAGCCAGTTTATGATTAGAAGACTTCTAAGTTCTAACCATTCGGGCAGACAAGATTGATCAATTAAAAGTCCTTGGTCTCAAGGCATAAAAAAGAACCCTATGTGGACTTAACTCATCCACGACAATCCTTGATAACAAGAAGTCCGAAGTTACTTGGGGCGCAAGTAATTAGCCTATTTTCTAGTTTTACTTCTGTTATATCATGATTGCTACAGAACGCTTGAATATAGAATTAATTTTGATAGAAAGTCTCAAGGTCTATATGTAAGGCCCGACAAAGGCACCTATCTGAGTTCGTTCTGCTCTGCGGGCTCGGGTGATTAAAGTATAACGGTTGTGATACTTCTGCAACAATGAAACAACCAATATATGTTCAAGTATTTGGTTAGTTTTGACGGGAAGCCTCAAGGCCTACACCTAAGGCCCCACAAAGGCACCTTTCATAACTAACTTGGTCTCTCGGACATATATATATAATAAAACTTAACATCGGTTTTACATCTATCATGCTAAAGATGGCAGTGGCACGCCTGGGTACTTAAAGTTAATTTTGATTGCGAGCCTCAAGGCCTACACCTAAAGCCCTACAAAGGCACCTTTCAGAATTAACTATATCCTTCTCTTACAGCCCGCCAATAAGCAGAAGCCCGACAGACGATATCAGCCAGCGCCAACCTCTCGGAGAGCTATGTGCTCGTTGGCCAAGAAACGTCTCCACTGGATATTCCTCAAGACGAACAATTGGTTCATCATATAAAAATTAAAAGATGTACTTTGAATTAATATTTCAGGGCTGAAATTACATTATGATCCAAAGAAAGTCGTCTTCTTTCTTTTTTACCAAATAAAAATAAAATTGGTACTATCATTGAGTATAAAGATGGCATATGATTCTATGAACATTGCATGAGAGATTGTTGTGTTTGTTTATATTTGGCTCAACTTGTTTTAAATCCCATTTTTCTTTGTTTGACATGTTTTTGGTCGTTTGTTCAATCGGCTCTGAAAAATTTCAGCATAATCAAAGCTGAACAGCACGATTCAATGACAAACTAGGTCTTACCGAAAGTTTTCTCGATTGAGAGAACAAAATATCCTTTGTTTTTCTTAATTAAAATGCTTATGCAATTTGTTTTTCGTAATTAAAATGATTATGCCATGTTTTTTTCTTAATTAAAAGGATTATGATGCTCAATGTGTGGCCTCATGGGTCAGATCCAACATGGGCATAACTTCAATGTTTTAGCCTTTTAGGCTTGGCCTCATTAGGACAAAATCATGGTTGGTAATTGATTAATTCCGGGGGGTTTGTCTGTCTTTCTACTTTATTTAATGTGTCTATTATTTAGATTTTGAGAATCAATATCGAGGGTTTTGTTTATGTCTTGATTTGAATAGTGTTTAAACTTAAGTTTGGCTATTTAGTACTACGGTCTAGTAGTATTCATCTTTACTTATAAGTGAGAGGTCTTAGGTTCGATTCTCACCAAAGATAAATTTGAACCACATTATTGTTAATCCATTGTGAGGCTTAGCCTACTCCCCTACCCCCTCAATGTAAGTTTAGGCTATGCTTACCATTTGAATTGTGTTACACACTGTTAGAATGGACAACAGAAAATTAATCATTAGAAATATGCGTTAAAATATTGAGAGGCATTATTAGCATTCTAACAAATTTATATTAATGCTGTGTACATATGCCTATTCGTGAACTAAAGTTGAGTAAGTAGAGCTTTCGAGCTTAATTAACTTAATGGCATATTCATGAATTTTTCTTCGTGGGAGCGTATAATATAGCCGACTGCCTACTTTAGTTGCCTTGAGACATTTTATATATCGAACACTTTTATCATGCCTTAAGAAAAATATCGAATATAAACTGCGTTCTACACTAAATAGTGGTGAAATCTCAAATCAGTTGAAACTTATTTGAAGAGGACGGCCAAATAAATGATGCACCGCTTATTTTGCTGCTAGAAATAGTGGCAGCCTGGGAGTGACTTTAGAGGATGTTGTCCGATGTAGAAGACGATGCTTTGAGGGTTCGAGAATTGAAACCATATACACAGCCCCAAAGAAGACACCCACGGCTCCATTTCTTATCCTAAATTTGTGGAAATTATTGCTTAAAATTCGAGGATAGGCAGTCCCTTGAGTTTGTTGATGTGACAGAGTTGGTGAAGAAGGTCTCGTCATCAAAGGTGGAGTAGGTGATCTAAGTTACTCCATATTTGACAGCAAGATTTTATTTCTGAAACTAATTTCTTGAATTTGTACAAGTTGATAAGCAAATGGTGCGAAAGTTTTTTCAATTTTTTTTTATTTTATATTTTTTTAGGTTGTATAAGTATCGATTCCAATTGCCCTAAACCATTCGTCTCCCGCTAAAAGTAAAATGGCCCCAATCACAAAGAGATCAATGTACAGGTTAGTAGAAACTTGGAAGGACTAAAAGGAAAGAATTCATAAACCACAGCTGTACCATGACATGAGTTTCCTGTGGACATATATAAGAGCAATTTAGATATCAACCACATAAATTTTGACATCAAAATGTAATCATACATTTTGACATCAAAATTTATGATACATTTTTTGCTTTCATTGATTAACAGTTTTTTTTTTCCTTAAAAAAAAACCAGCTGATGATTTCGGCACAACAATCCATCCTTCCGAGCTACGAGAAGTAGGGGTAGGCAAACGGATCGTGGAGCTGCTGGTCGGTGCTGCTCCAAGCGCGGAAGTAGGGGTAGGCAAACGGATCGTGGACCTGCTGGTCGGTGCTGGTCCAAGCGGATCGGGACGGGCCCAAATATTTCAAAGAAGAAAAGGGACGGGGCGGGCAGGGCGAGTCCAAAAATTAGGAGAAACGGGCGGCCGACCCCAAGCTTTTCTACCATTTTCTGTCAAACGAATAGACTTACTCATCTCTGAGTCTCTCGTGAGCGATCTGTCCAATTCACCGTCACTCTACTCCGTCTTCATCTCCCTCTCTTTAGTGACTTGCGACCACCACCAGCATCGTCTACGGCCAGCGCCTGCTAATCGAAATCCATCATATTCACTCCCATTCACCAATGGGCTCGTCCTACACACCTTATGGGCTTTGTTTTCTTTTGTCTAAAATCTGATCCAACAGATAAAACCCATTTGATTAAAAGATCGACAACCCGACTCCGAGTCGAAGAGCACCAAATTACTTTCTCGGGTTCCGAGAGAGGGAAGAAAGCGTCCAAATTTAAGTTTACAACCCGGTTCTGCGTCTCATCGCCGTCTTCTGTGCTCTTTCCCCACTCTTTCAGTATTGCCTCTGCCTCTGCAAAACCTGTACTGAAGCACTCATGGGTCTCTCCAAAGAACAGCTGCTTGCCCGTTTAAAGGTTACTCTCTCTCTCTCTCTCTCTCTATGTATATATAATGTTTATATGTATTGGACTGTGCTATTAAATTTGATCTGGATATTCTTTGTTTGCGAAGAATGTTGAAAATTATTCCAATTCTCCATAGCTTGTAGTGGTACCTAATTGCCTTTTGTTGTTTGAAGGTCTTCTGTAATTCTTAGTGTACCATCTATAATTTGGGGATTATATATTGATTTTGAATTTGCTTTAGCTTGTGAACCAAAAAGCTCTTATATCGCGTCTTTCGCATATAAACCCTCGATAACATTACACTTTAGCAAAAAACACTTCAAACCCAGAAAAGGAATTTCAAACTAAGAATCAATTCAGAATTTTACTGCTGCGCATCTCTTTAATTTCCTGGAACTAACCTATTCCGTTGGTTTTATTAGGAGCTACAAGTCGATTTTCCCCAACATGAACATCCTGTTGTTCTGACCGTTGAAGCTCAGGTAAAAGAAGATAAATGAATATGGGAATAACTTATGTAGTCTTTTTGCGCCGATTAATTACATGTTCTGTAGCAAGATATGATTTGTTTTCATCGGGCCAAATATGTTGGAAATCTGGGAGGTGGACTGAGTGAAAATTTATTCTTGACGGTATCGTATTCTGACAGTTTGGAAACAGCATTCACATCGCGTAATATAAATTCTGCAGCTTGGTTTTTCTTCTACTTTTCATTATGCGGCTGAGCATCTATAGTTTTTTCTTTTATAACTGCAGGACAAGAAAAGAAGGTTTTATAATTTTTCCGCTTCGGCAGATGCTAAATTAGATTTGAAAGGTATGCATGTATTCCTAATTATGTTCATTCTGTTATGTGTAAGCATTTTGATCTGTCGTCACATAAATCTTTCTTGCTTTATGCATCATTTGAAATGTTGGAGTTTGTCTGAATACTTATGAGCTTTATCTACAACTTGAAAGCTGAGCGGTTCTATCTGTGGGGCTTGGTTTGGGAAGAGGGGGCTTGAGAATGGCTCCTGAAGAAGCACTTGGAGAAATACTTCAGGTTGGCATGTGCAAATATTATTTTAGCTGTCAATTCAATCTAATTAGAAACAATGCTAATTCTTTGATTTCTGAGAATTCTTTGGCATCTCACCTGATACTTTCGAATTTAGCGGACTATTTTTCATGTGTTCATTAGAAGAAATTATGCTATATCATAAAGTGTCATGTATGTAATTGCCTTTCTGATTCTGTTTTTAATATTTGTTCTGATTCTGTTTCTTGTTGCAAGGTCCCTCTGGGTTGCGTTATGCCTTTTTCCCTGGTGAATGAATCTGGACGGTATGCATTACTCTTTCATTTGATTGATATCCAAATAAACAATAGGTTTCCTTCTATATTTTCTATTCAGGCATTATAATTTGTTACTCTTGCCCTTGAACGCAAGTAGTTTAATTATCTTTTGAAATGATTTAAATCAGTTACTCCTTACCATGTGGTTTATATTGTATAGCCTATGCTTTTTACATTTGATTAATGACCAACTGAATATAGTCGTAATTCTTACCATTTTGGTTTTCTGGAAAATTAAAACGTGACCATTCTTATCATTTAGGTTGTGGAAATAATTATCTTTTCACCCGAAGTCATGTTATTTAGCCTGTGCATGTTGATACTGTAATCATTTTTCTTTCATATATTATTATCTTGAGTGAATTCTCTTATGCTTTTTCTGCCTTTTTTTTTTCTTTTCTTTTCGTGAAGCCATGTCTCTCTGTTGTTGGATCACAAATTTAAAAGTCAGGAGTGGTGCTTCTTCCACCCTTTATCGAATGACATGTCAATCTGTAAGTGATAAGGGTTGATGAGAGGAAATGATATTTTTGTCTCATCTGTTTTGAAAATTCTGTGCGTACTTATAATTCTCCTGAAGTTTTATGTTGCTTTATAATTTACTTGTGGATTCTTCATTTTTATAAACCTCATACACTACTGTTACATGAGTAGTCTTACCCAGAATGTCTGTTTTTGTGGCTATAGCGTGAGCATAGTGTTACAAGTTAATTGCTCGCAATTACCTTGAGGAATTTTGTTGTCATTTGGGATAGATTTGGAATAGTCTAGGCAAAGAACCACTACTTTCAATTGTAAGGTTTCTGCTGGTCTTATCGTATTATTTTACTTGGTTGAATTCATATGAGCATTGGAGCAACAATTCATTTTTTGGTGGCAGCCTCTCCATAAAATGGGGGTAAGGCTAGCCGACATTCACCTCTCCCAGACCCTGCGTAAAGCGGGAGCCTTGTGCACTGGGTACGAATTAAATACACAATAATGTCTTAAGAAGCATGGGTATGGCAATAATTCTAGATCTATAGAACTTTGTTAACAAGGTATATGCAGAAGCAGTGTTACTTAATAAGTTTAATGATGTGTAGTCAACGAAGACTTTACATGTGTACATCTGTATTGTGTCCGTGCACACTTGTGTTTCTGTGCATTAGTGTGTTTAATCAGGCATTAATTGTTGAGAGCTCCTGGAGTAATAAGACCGGACATCTTGTTACTAAATAATTGGATGTCTTAAAGAGTTATATGTGTGCCTGATATGAGCCTTTGGATTCTCTGTAATGGATTTTATTTTGTTTGTTTTATCTTATTAACTATTCTGCAACTCAACAAATTCATACTTGAGTTATGGTTTTTATTCCGGAAAAGAATTTCCATTGCTATCAATATGTCAATGTATTAAAAGCGTGAGGCGTGGGCGAGACGTCTAAGGGATAGCCTGGCCTAGGCGTGAGGAGTGAGGCGAAGCCTCATGGGACCTAAATTTTTTAATATATACATTGAGCGTACACATTATATTAAAAAAAAAAGATTATTAATCAATATTCACCCTGAGTACACACATATATTATATTATATATATACATATATTATATTATATTATATATATATAATAGAGGGTGAAAAGCACAATGAGCACACATATAACAATGCATGTAGACAGCACACACATCCATTATATAAAAAAATAAAAATAAAAAAAAAGGCAAAGAGTCGATAGTGTAAGGAAGAGGTATGAGACAATTAAAACCCTACCCAAAATTTGGGTTTGGGAGTTTGAAAAAAAAAAAAAAACAAAGCCCTGAGGCGCGTCTAGGCAGCTCCGGCGAAGCCTTCTTCCCACTCTCTCAAAACAGAGGCGGCAACCCTCACGCCCAGCCTCAGAGGACGCCTAGGCGCGCCCTGAGGTGAGCCTTTTAAAACATTGATATATGTTCAACAAAATTTTAGTTTCTTACTCAAAAAAGTTGTGTATGTTATCCTTCTCAATAAGTTTACCCCTGATCCGTGACGAAATTTCTGTTTCCAGCACTTAGTACCCATGATCTTGACAAGTTTCTAAAATCAATTGGGAGAGACCTCATATGTTGACTTGGAGGTAATGAGACTTATGTTTGTCTCCATAGTTTAAAGAACACCGAATCATTTTATCAAAATTATATGTCTCATGCAGGCTAACCCATCGGTTGGGAAGGATCAACCGCCTGATCTTGCCTGCTTTGTGCCGTCAGGTTCCACAGTGTTGCCAGACCCTCCGCAACCAGCAACTTCCTCAGAAGGTCGTGTAGAAATTCAAGTTTCTGTGGATAACAAATCAACAGCAGTATAGGTACTGTCATGTGAAACTGCACTCTGCAGAAATATAGAAATACAAAGAGAGTTGATTCCACGATAAATTCTCCTAATATAGTTCTATGATAATTAATTTTCGTCCTCATAAGTTGCCATGCTGTTATGGTACTTTCTACATTTAAGTAGCTCGTTTCCGATCATATTTTTAGAGAGATATTAGCATTTTTCTTGTTTGGGGATTTGGGAGATGTTAAAATTGGGCTTCCTGTTTTTTATTCATGTTAACCAGTAAAATATTCTTTCATGATGCAGTGAATTCTTCTAAGCTATCCACTAGTGCAAAGAGAACTAAGGACTGATGTACTTTTATGTGCAAACGGAAGCGAATTCTAACAAAGTACCAATATCAATGTCGTAGGTGAAAGCTAAAACAAACTAACATAAGAGATTTACGTGGTTCGGCGTAAAGCCTACTCCACAGGCGAAGCACGGCAAGGAATTTCACTAAACAAACGGAGATTACAAAAAAGTGTTTAAACTCTCATAACCTAGATCCCACAAATTACAAACCCTAAACCAAGCGAGTAGAGAACCCAAACAAACGGAGAAGATTCTCCTATCTAACTCACAAATTGACTCTCACCAAATTTGCCAAACGAATGAGCCATGAATTTGCTACACACTCGTGACTCCAAACGGTGACCACCACCCAAAACCAAAATAGAGAAAAGCTCTCTAAACCATGATGAGGCACACAAAATACACGAACCCTAACGTCTTATTTATAGTGCATGGGAATTAGGTTACAATAAGAATCCTAATAGGAAGTAAATCCAAATCCTAATCAAATAGGTAATTAACAAAATCTCTCCAGCAAGGAAACCAACTAAGAAGTCAAAATCCAAACCCAAATAGGACACCAAAACCAAATAGGTAACACACCTAATTCTTTGCATCATCCTAATTTTGAGCCATAAAAACCCAACAAGGACGAACAGGTCAATGGTGTAAATGTGACAAAGACCGTAACAGATGCTCTTTACTGTCATTACTCATTAGTGTACATCCAGTTCTCGGAAGATTTTGAAACAATTGTTCATATCCGTAATCACGAGATCATTCTTATTGCAGATGATCTTTAAATCCACCGCATATACTGAAGGTTTTCTGCTGGCAAGCGCCATTATACACACCGTACATATTGACGATTGTTTGAGTTCTTTCTCCCATTCTCCGTCGCAAGAGAGTGCAGAATCAATCTGCTCCATGTTTGAATCATTTTTATGCTCTGCTATATTTCGAATGCTCTTTTCTACATTTGATAGAATATTTATGTGACCATTTAAAACTTTATGAGATGCTTCCTTTCTAAAAATAATGTTTTTGCGAGTGTGTTTCGCGTTTACGATTTATGATGCTGATAACAAAATCTGGCTAGTGCATTTGACTTATTACTTCAGCTCATCGGTACGTTGTCTTCCGATGACAGAACAGCTTATTTGTAGGATTATAACATGAACCTATGCAGAAGTGTTTATATCGTTTATGTAAGACATTCACAACAGTATCAGACAAATAATGTCGGAGCGATAGATAGTATTTTGGTTGAAGGTTTACGGTTTCTGCTGCAGCGTTGAGTTCCGTTTGGTTGAAGATGTGTCATTACGGTTAAAACACGGACCAGTTTGATTTTAAGCAATTTCGATCAAGCCTTTTTTTTTTTTTTTTTTTTTTTTTTTTTGTGTTACAGATTTATTTATGCTGACCTTAAGAGATAGAGATGAGCCTATGATCTTCGGGACGCAGAGGATTACAACCCAAAATTATTGAAACATGAAATAATAGCCAATGTTATGGCGTCCGGCGTAATTAACAGCCACTTTTGAGGACTAAAAATAAGGCAAGAACTTCACCATGGATCAGCTGCATCAAAATACAATTTCTCTTTAGGACTTTTTGTTTTCCTAAAATTGGAACCGTAGCAGGGCTCTGTCCATTTATTCACTAGACCAAATTCTTTTTTTTTTTAATTTTATTGCACAACAAGAATTCAAACAATTTAAATAAGGTTTTGGACCTATTTAGTAAGAATGGAATTGTTGGGGGACATTTAGATCGAAGCGGACTTGAGCTTTGAGAACATCATTTTCTCCCTTGGTACGGATTCGTAACAAGTCCCAAGATATCTCGAAAGAGTTAGCTTGTCTTAGGAAATACGCTATATGCTGGTAACATCATTGGCTCGATGATAGCATGAATGATCCAGATAATGACTTGCTCAAGTGAAGCGTGATGTGGAAGCTAAAAGATTATTAGTTTACATGAGAGATAAGGGATTTGCATGGTTGCATGGCATTCTTTGCTAGATAATATGGGCTTTCCTAGGGTGATAGTAAGGTTTTTAATGACTGGGATGTTTGATGCAAAGCTATGGAAATTATTAAGGTTGCATGGATGGTGATGCTTGGGGCTTGGAGTAGGCTTCTGGGCTAAGTGGAACTTTCTGGGCTTTTTCCTAGGTGGTTCTCTTTCACTACGTTTTCTCTATCTCCTCCTCCCTGTTTTTCTGAATCTCCTTCTGATGGCTTCTCTCCCTCCTTATGTAAGTGAAGGCTTCTTCTCTAGGTTTCAAGAGAATATCCCTTTGTGTCTTGGTCTTCCCCTCCTTTCTCCCTAACTATCCTATTATTCCCATTTTGGTGTAAACTAGCTACACTGTTGAGACTTGCAGATTGTTACTTCCTGAGGCACGAATTTCCCAGGGTGACCTTTTTGCAAGTGCTAAATCTGGTAGCGCGCTTCATGGCTTTTGCGCTTTGGCTGTCTGTGCAGGCTGGGAAGGGAAAGTCAGCATTAAATGTCTGGGCTTAACATGCATTTAATGCAAGAATCTAGTTTAATCCTAACCAAGGGGGGTTAGCTTCCTAGGGAAAGGGATAAACTAGGCTAGTTCTCTCTCAATGATGTTTGCGTGAAATACAAAGGGTATGGGCTTGGATCCTTGGGCTCCCAAGCAGCCCAAAGTCTTTCATGACCCCAATTCCACATAAGCCCGATAACCTTGTGTAACCATCCACACCACAATCCACTTGGCAAGCCCCGAATATGTGACTTGGGATTAGCATGATTTGTGGCTAAGGAAGCATGGCGTGATGAATAGGCATGAGCATGGCGCGGCATGGCATGTTTGTAAATATATTCCTCGTCGATCCTGTGCCTTGGCGTGTGCTTGGGCTTAAATGTAGGCTTTGCATGACAATTGGGCCTTGAGACTTGCTTGGATTTGTGTGTGACATTTTTGGGCCCCAACAAGAATATTCTCATAATTATCCATTGACACGACATGTAGCTTTTTTCATTTATTTCATTTTAGAATCAGTTGTTTTTACAAACAAGACGGTATGGACAAATCTTTTGTTCCGTACTAATGTGTAAAAGATGCTAGCCGCGCTTAAAAGTTGAGTATTTTTTAATTACAGCATTTTAGTCCCACTAAAAAAACACAAATAAATGAAAACAAGATGAAAAGCAAATCAACTGTTGTTTCGGGAAATTTAAATTCAAACCTTTGACATGGTACGAGATGATATGTCACTAAATCAACATAAAAGAAATTGAAGTTGCAATAATTTAATTAATTTTTGTGACTGGAAGAGGTACGATGCTTTAAGCAAAAAATGAATACAAATAATAGAAATTGAAGTCGCAACCATTCCCATTGTTATCGCAATTATGTATAACATTCATAACTTGAAATTTTTTTCATAATCAAATAATAGAAATAATAATTTAACATTAACATTAACCAACTCTAGAAGTAGAAGTAGCATTATCACCTTGTGGCTTGTTTCAACGATGCCTTGATCGAAATGGCCACAAAGATCCCAACCTACTCCACCTCACGCGCCGTCTTGTCCGCCCCTCTCCGCCACTATTCGAGCCCCCCAACTCTACCAATCCGCCACCGCATACCTGAATCTCAACCCGGCAAACCGGGCAAGAGTTGTGGAGCCTCAGCCACGGAACAATACAATCGCTGTGGTATATGTGATTGCATGACAACTCCCTCACCTCTCCACCAATCTTAAACTCCTCCATGCAAATTGGGCAACAAGACTCATTGCTCAAATGGACCTCGCTGATTTTCACAGTTGGTATTGCGTTGATTGCCATTTCGGGTACTGGAGGCGGGCCGGGCCTGTCGTTTTGGGTTAGTTCTTCGATCAGTCCGTGAAGGCCCGGCCCAAAAAAGTAGTTTCCTAGATCGACTCCACGTGGAGCGGGTAGTACTAGATTTTCTTGTGGTCTATGAGTGGGTCCCACTGGATTAGAAGGGTCTTCCACGGGTCGGACTATAATCAAATTCCTGGGACGGCTTCGAGTGCGGGGCTCAGATTCAACCTCCCAGTTTTCTCTACCATCAAAGCTAGGGTTGCGCCGCCTCCGTCTCCTATTTGTCCTCAAATCTTGAACATCAGGTTCTGTTTCAAAGCAACGTGTCAAATGTCGAGAAAAGTATTGCTAATTCATATGAACTCAGTGGCGGAGCCAGGATTTCTTGTGAGAAGGGGCCTCACACAAGTATAGAAGAAAAAAAAAATGAATAGTGGTTATAAAATTACAATGCAAAACATTATAATATATATCCAAATAATTAAGTAGTCAAAATTAACATATGCATAGATAATTTTATAGAGTAATCAAAATTATTCTTGGCAAATTCCATTGAAATAGTAGCATCATGTCATCTATACTATTGAAAGAATTATTAATCTCAATAGAGAGAATTACTAAAATTTTTGCAAACCCTAAAATTCAAGTAAGAGGTGAGATAGAATAGAAACAAATGTTTTATAGTGAATAATAGAGTTTCGACAAAAAAAAGAAAGAATAATAGAGTATTACAAACCTTTTTGTTCTTTATTGAATAAATTTGGGAGTTGGAATGACTAAATATATAAAATTCAAGAAGAATAAGGAATAACTTTACCGGTGCATAAGTGAAAGACGGTTTTTTTTTTTTTAAATTAAAAGTGAATTATGGGTTTTAATTTAATGTTATTGATTTGTGAAATGGTGGTGTTGTCCACACACCTCTTTTTACCTTGCATACACCTCTCTCAATTTTCGGCCATTTGATCAAATGCATTGAAGAATATCAAATGACATAAGTTAACAAGGAGTGTGTGAAAGGTAAAAAAAAGGTATGTGTATAGCACCACACTTTATGATAAATGATCATTTAAAATATATAGTTAATTTTGGGAAGGGATCTGTTGGATGAATAAGAAATAATGATTGGATTTGTTTTAGTTGTTGAGAATGGTTGCAAAGCAATTGAAATAGGTGTAATACTATCTTTGTTCTTTTCTTTTTTTTTTAGTCAGGGTAGGCCTAGGACCGATGTAGGTCTTAACTGCCTCCGCTAGTGTATGGACTGTTTGGATTTAAATATAGAGTCCTTCGTCATAATATTAACTTCTAATCATAATTTGGCGCATACCAAAATATTTCTTTTAAACTACAAAACGAAAAGTTTATGCACATATATCGAAATCTAATTTGTCTCCAAAAAAAGAATAACCTCCATTTTCGTAATTAAACGGCTTTAAACCGTTAAAAAAACTTATTGATGGATCTATATTTTCATAGTTGGTGTGCATTACTATTAAATTTGTTCATGTTGGATATATTTGGTCGATAACCATAACATCAATGCACATATATTTGATCAACTATGAATAATGTACGAACAACTGTAAATTACTGCAACTATCAAAATTCAAGACCACGTACCTACACCTGCACCTCTGCCCTCATGGCCAAGGTGGCGTCGCCAATACCATGGACGTCCTCTGGAATCGGCTTCCGGGTCATATAATTCACGGTTGAAAGGCCTCATGAGCGGATCGAACATGAGGGAAAGTGCTTCGAGCAGACGAGCTTCCGGGGATGGATCGAAACTGGTGTAGTCTACGAGAAGTCTAGGTCTAATCGACATGTCAAACTCCGACAGAAACTGCCCGAAACAACGAGGGCAGACTGTCTCTGATGGGTTGTTGGAGGCAGTCCTCACCGTCCGATTGCAATGGTAGCACCAGTAGAGTCCGTATAGTGGTGTTGTGCCATCGTCATTGTTAATGTCCCTCAAACGAGGTGGACTCAGAGACATGTTTAGTTTTGGGAGCTTTGAAAAATATTGACGATTCTGATGGAAGTTTAGGGTTTTATTTGGAAAGAATATGAAGGAGAAATGATGGAAATGAAACAAAGAATGGCTTTTGGGGTACACAAAGCAATCCTCTTTCCTTCTATTTCTGCATTCTGAAATGTATCTAAAGTTTGCTTTGTGGGTTTGTAGGGTTTATAGGGGCTTCACACCATTTCGTTTTCACAAAGAAAGGGATGAGTATCATGCATGCATGCAACGATGCATATGTCGACGTTTCGTAGTCGGAGAGTATATTCTTGATGGAGAAACATTGCATCCACCTATGGCTGCGATACTGTTTGGTCAGGAAATCAATTAAATTGGATACTGTTTGGTCATTTGTACATAATAAATAAATAGACAATTTATTATAAAGTTACTAGTTGATATTAAAATTTTCGATTTGTTTGATACATATACATGTTTAAACGATTTTCAATTTGATTGATTTTTTTCAGAAAGTTTTAAAAAGATTACGACTATGAAAATGAACATTTCTGCTGATTATAACATTTATATGGTTAAAATACGTCATAACGGGTGAGCATGGATTTTATTGTTTGGGCCTATTGTTTTATGTTTGTGGACTGGACTTGAAAATGAGCGATGCCTGCAGACTTGGGCAATTGTTTAATTCACTAGCCCAAAAATAAGATATGAAATGATAACTCAGCCCTATGATCGGTCGACCAAATTTTGTTTAAGGACACATTATTCAGTGGAAAAGAATTTACAATTACAATGAGAGATTTTTCAATGTGTTGGAAATACAGAACGACACACCACATGTCGTAGTACAATTGGAGGGACACTTGAAAAGAAAAAAAAAATTTCTCAAATTGCATAATAACATGTGATTTTATGTCTCGTGTTTCGAGTACACTGAAAAGCCTATCCAATTGCAAGTCATGGTCACATCCACGAGATAAAAGTGACTAATTATGAAACTAACGAAGATTCAATTGAACAAAACAATGTTATAATTAGTGTTTGAGCTCAGATTATAAAATTGCACTGTCATTATTAACTCTTCAAACCTTAACTTTCTTTAAAACTACTAATTAACACATGATCAACCACTTAGTACTACTGTCTAATGTATTCATCTTTACTTATAAGTGAAAGGTTTTAGATTCGATTATCTCCAAAGGTAAATTTGAACCACATTATTGATAGCTCATTGTGAGGCTTAGCCCATCACTCATCCTATAGAATAGATGCTATCATTTGTTCAAAAAAAAAAAAAAACACTTTTTGTGGTTACACAACAGTGAATTTATATTAAAGAGTGAAAAATTATAGCTAAATCACATAATAGACTAAGCTACAATAATTTGATATTGAAATTGTCATTCATTGAAGTCCAACCTATCAATCTTCAATGCTTATGAAATGGAGATAGAATACCAATTTACTCTACTAAGATTTCTTTCCTCCACTTGTTTTGTTGTTTTAATGAAAATGTTGAGGAATGGTCGACAATAATTTAGATATACCTATTTTTCTACTCATCCAAAAAAAAAAAAGTTATATTCATCTTGCATGTTTGTGCATGACCATTTAATATGTGCAACGCCTGGCTCTGTCTCTTGTTTCCTAAGGAAATACCAAAGAAACATATTAAAAAATGGAAAGAGATCCTCTTCGAATTTCTTCCTCCTAATCCATCAAATCAGGAAATCCGTATTATTGAAATTTGATCCAATAGCTACAAACATGGACTCATTTTAAAAGTTATAATAACTTCTGCCGTTGGATTAAATTTCTATAGTACGGATCCTCTGATTTGATGAATTAGGAAGAAGAGATCCGGAGAGGATCAATTTCCTTAAAAAATGCAGTTGAATAATGCAAACCTACTCTTTGCCAAAAGTTCATGGTCATCAAGCACTTTTAATTTCAAATATGATAAACTTATCAGTGTGTGTGTGTGTGAGGCAAGGGATCCTCATTATTTTAAACAAAAAAAAAGTGATGTGGACTCATACTATATCGAATTTTAACAATCCGAATCAGTTATTTTTTAAGTCTTGATTAGATTATCCTTGTCAAAATTTAATTCAATCCAAAATCATTTTGCCTATATAATTATCACGATGAAGTTTTATTGTTTCTTACAAAGTGTTCGTCTATTTCTTTAAACTCAATTAGATGTCTCAAATATTTTCAATTTGATTAATATTTTGTAAGGACGATCTATGAGGTGCAATTTGAAAAATAGATGGTTCGAACATTGAAATTCAATATGGTATTATCTATATTAAATGAGAGGAGGGCAGGTTTAGACTTACACTAGCAATAATGGGGGAGGAAATGTGCTTAGCCTCATAATGGGCTAGCAAAAAATGTGGTTTAAATTCGTTTTTAACGAAAATCGAACATAGGACATCTCACTTACAAATGAAAATGAATACAACTACACCGTAATGCTAAGTGACAACTTTATGTATATTTTAAATTTAAGCATAGAATTTACCACCATCATTTTATAAAATGAAAATTAATGAAAATGACTTGAAAACTTTGAGTTTTAATGATAAGGACAAAATAAAGGCTAAAGTAAATAGTACAAGGATTGATTTTTTTAATGTAAAAATATGATTTTTCGTTAAAGTAAACAGTACTGTGAACTTTTCTTTAAAATTCTATTTTATAAAAGTGTGACGGCAGGACCATCACCAAGAAGTAGCTAACAGGACACCCTTTCAGTCAATCATGTAGCCGAAGAAATTAATTTGAACATGAACCCTGATGCTGCAAAATTCAAATATTAAATAAAAACATGTTGATATATACTAAAGTGATGTAATGGCGTGCGTCACGTATTGCAAACTTCCTAGTATGGTAGTACCCATGTATGATGATTTCAATATGTAATTAACCAAAGGTATGTATATTATATAACTATATTAATTTTTTAATTATAAATTATAATAGGAGATTTCAAGCGTTAATTAGTACTAATTTAACATGATGCTACTTTCTTTTAGATACGTTAATTTGAATTATCTTATGATTTGAATTGTTGATTTTTTATTTAAATTATCGTACATAAGTCATCTTATTTCATTTAAATTGAAAAACTGTTTAGCCCTTTAATTATTCGTGCACATTTATCGACAACACTATATTCTATTCTATGTAAGACACGATAATTTTAAAGTAAACCTCGACATGTGGTTAGTTTCATAGTAAATTACTAACTTCATCGGTTCTGATTATTATTCTCAATAATAATTCAATTTAAAAACTTCGTCGGGAATGAAAAACAAATATAACTTTGCCATCATCCTAATTTCTTCGCAACATTTCACCGTATTTTATAAAACTTATTATCGCATTCTATATATGAATTTTTCTGTGTCGTGTCTTACTAACGTGTACATTCAAAATCCACTCAAATTTGTGATTTTTTTTTTAACAAGGGGTACAACTAGTGGCAAATTACAGTTATCTATCATTTTCAGGTCTAAAGAGGCTATGAGGAATTTTACCATACCCGTGACCATAGTCAAGTAGACTCACCAGCTCAAAGCATTGAACTCGGAACCTCCTACAATTTTTTTTTCATTTTTTTTATTAAAACCGAAGATAGGATATATTATAGACGAATAAGAATGTTTACATCGTGGGCTAGAACATTAAATAAAAACTCTGGCCCAATACAATCCCAAACAAAATCACCACATTTCTGAAAAGCAAACTTCTCCACTGAGTGAGCCGCACGGTTACTCTCCCTAGGCACAAACGAAAACGTCACAGACGTTAACCTCTGTACTAGAAGCTCGATGTCACCAAGGATGCATTCAATATTGTAGTCAGGTGTAGATTCCTTCTTTAGCATATGTTTGATAACCAAAGCATCCAATTCAATTATCACATTGTCAAAGCCGTTGTCAATGCAGGCCATTAGAGCGCCCAGTATAGCACACGCCTCAGCAGCTGCCGCACTGTGACAAAAGCCAGTTCCTGATCCTCTAGTAGCTTGAAGCAGACCCACGAAGTCACGGCCCACCCATCACACGCCAGCGCGCAGAGAAGACTTACACCAAGCCGCATCGGTATTCATCTTAATAGAACCAAATTTCGATTTCTTCCAATGAGACTGCGAACAATTTGCCAGCTTGGTGGGTTTTAAGCTCTTTTGACACTCTCCCACAAGACCTTGGGACAGAGCCTCATGGTATTCAGAAATATTCTTCCTCCATAACGTCATGACTTTCAGGTGTTGTCTGTGTATACCATTGTATACCATTTCATTTCTATTTTTCCATAGTCTTCAGAGGCGCCAAAAGCAAACTCCTGGAGAATCTCCTCACCATTGTCCCTATGCTTGAAGAACCGCAATTCGCATTCTTTGGAGAACCGTAATTCGCGTTCTTACTACTGAACCACGTTTTGTAGTTCAAACTTGTGAATTTTGACGTGGACATTTTGTTATTGATAAATGATAATGACCCAAGTCAAAAGGGACTTAAAAACAACAACATAGGCACTAAGTCAATAAAGAGGATAGGGATTAGGTGACTAAAAACCTCCCAACTAGTTCCCTAATTGCCAAGGAACAAGTACAGTTTATCGCGTCACACACATTTGGTGACTACCCTTTTTTAAATTAAATTATAAGCGAGATTTAAAGTCAAATTTTCTTGAGCTGTTTGCTTTGGACCGCTTGGCAAGTTTTGAAATCAACGGTCAGGAGATTCCACGATCTTTGCTCTTTTTTTTTTTCTGGGTCTGATACATAAGAGAGGATTCTCGCTGAATCCTCTTTGTGAGGATCCTAGGGATCCTCATCACATCCATTTATCGTACATTGTGCAGTCAATTTTTGTTAGATATTTTTTATATTCAATTTTAAATAAAAAAATTTATAATGAATTTTTACTTCATAATATAAAATGAACGAATGTGATTAGAGGATCCAGCGAGGATGCTCTTGGCTGATATATGATCACGAACTAGGTCATGCTTTGATTAATTCATCACATCCTTCTTTGATATTTTCTGTAACTTTATTATTTTATTTTCGTCTATTTTGGTGTGTAAGGACAAGTGTACTTTTGTTTGATCAAGAAGAAAGTTCTTGCCAAAAACCGAG